CTTTAACTTTTTACCACCTCTTAAGACTAGGATAGAATGTCTCGTTAACAGTTAAAAGAATTTCTGATTCTCTACACTCACCCTATGAAATACAGCAGCATTAAGCTCTATTTTACGCTGGTATTCTGTGAGAGCGTGATCCTTCCCTGGTAGAGCCGACCCATTAGTGCTAGAACTATGCTACTTATACAATTGCAGCATGGGTCTACCACGTATAAAACAACGTGGTCTTTCGAACCGACTTAATCTTGCTGTAAACACAATATAGTTGCAGTATAGCTCTACCACGTTTAATATATGTCTTAATTTTACCTTCCATAAACAGTTTCCTTTCCCGTCTTATGTTCCTAAATCCATTAAAATTAATCACATTCGGTTATGCCCTAAAGGACGTATATTTAACGGCAACCAGCTTAATAAAAGGCACTAAAGAAGGTTTGTGCACCATAAAAAGGACTTTTGTGATGCGACGGCTGTGTAAAAGAAACCACCATTAAAGCGTGCTGTCATAAAAGCGACTAAGAGAATCTCGATTAAATTCTCAGTCTTTACCAGTTGACAAAAAAACCTTCTTAAAATTGGTAATAACCTGAGCGGTACTGAATTGAGGATTGTCGCCTGAATGAATCAGCTTGAATGGGGAAATACCACGCTCTCACAGAATACCAGCGTTAAATAGCAGTTTCATATTGCTGTTCCGTACGGTGAGTGTAGAGAACCGGAGACCCTTATTATAGGAAACGAGACATTTAATCTTAGTACTCAGGGCTGACAACGCATTTGCATTCGATTTTTATTTAAGGATAGATGTAGCTCGTTTGCATATCTACGTCTACACTAATATTATAAAGAGGAAAAATTTGTTTGTTTGAATTGAATAGGCTCCAAAACTACTGGACCGATTTGAAAAATTCTTTCACAATTGAAATCCTACGTTATCCCTGATGAACATATATGTCGAGATGGCTATAGTATATTTTCAAAAAGTTAGGGATCCGTATGAAAACTTCGTTGATGTAACATGTTGATGAAAAAAATAGCAAAAGAATCCTTATATTGCATACGCTGCGGAAACTATTGACATTAGAGCAAAGTGATGTACTACAGTTTTATAGAAGATATCAATATCTATAAAAAGTCCGCGATATCATATGTCTAACTGTTACAGTTATGTCACAATAACTACTTTTTCATGTTAAAATATGCAATAGTAACGCCAAAAAATCCTTATATCTCATACGCTGCGGAAACTATTGACAATAGAGCAAAGTGATGTACTACAGTTTTATAGAAGATATCAACATCTACAAAAAAAAAACTATACAGTTATGTCACAATAACTACTTTTTCATTTTAAAATATAGAATGCCCGAGCATGTGCAATGTGATGAGGCTACTTACTAAGAAATTGAAGGAAAATTTAACTGTAGTGATCATCATCACCGGTCTATCAGCTGGTCAACTACCTCATATACCGAGGATATTTTGCTGCCACAAAATAAAGCAACATCAAATATAGTTTACAGGGAAGTTCTGAACTAATAAATTTGTGTTTTGTATATATTATCTTTTTACTAATAATATTTCTAATAAAAATAAAATAATCAAATTTAAAAAAGAACAAAAAAATAAGTCAAAAATAATAACAAAAATCATTACCTATCTATACCTTAATATTATGAAGAAGATAGGTTTTTTTTGTTTGTTTGTATGTTTGTACGGTCCAAAACTACTAAACCGATTTTAATTTTTTCATCAATAGATTTTACACCAATAAATTATCACAAAGTAACGTAGGCTATAATTTATTTTCAAAAAATTGGAGATCTTTAAGAAAATTGTAACTCAATGTAGCAAAATTTTGCCTATAAAATTCATTATTTGGCGTGGGCTGACAAAACTTGATGATACATAAAAATTATGTGCTACATAATTAAAGTACTCATTATTACCTGCAAAAAGTCCGCATAAGGAATATATCTATCATAATTTAAGTCACAATAGTAGCTTTTGTGATCTAAAATTTAATTAGATCACCGGTCGAAACAAAGGTCGGTTACAGTCGTATCGTAGTATTAATTCTTATTCAAATAAATAGTTTTATCATAATGAAAAAGTTAAGAAATAATTTGTGAGTACCTCTTTTTAAAGAGCATATTCTATTCTTTACTTTAGTTATACATATTTTGGCGATAAAGTTGAAAATTTTAATAAACCTAAACTTTGAGCAAAAAAAAAAATCGATAAAAGATAAGAAATGTTCATATTTTGTGACAGATAGCGCAAAAACTATAAATGATATCGCTTTCGTATGCATAAAAAGTTGATAGAAAGTTCATCAACGATCATTTGATACCTCAAAACTTTTCATGTACCGTGTACAGATATCTTTAAAACTGAAAAAAAACCGCGTTTGGTGCACTTTCTGGGGCGTTCATCCGGGAGGGGGATAGAGAGTGGATAAAATTTAACTTTGCTGTATAACGTACATATGATAAAAGAACTACATTAATTTCGCCAATTTTTTTAGCTAAAACGATTGAACTAAATGAGCGAGGTGTTATGTCATGTCTTCCTATACAAAAGCTTAAAGTAAACAGAATAAATTATGTAAACAGCTTAAAAAGCTCCCTTAAAAGCGTAAAAGAAAGATCGAGATATGACCAATCACTCAACGAATGCAATGAAGACCTTATGAACTGCCTAGAAATTAACTCTGTACAAGAATGCTATGATAACATAATTAACATTGTAGAAACCAGTTTGAAGAAAGCTCTCGTAAAAGATAAAGATAAAGAAAGAAGCAGCGTGTTATCAACTGATACTACAAAATTAATACAGCCTAGAAGTGCTCTACAATAAATAAAACCAAAGACGCGAGCTATGAAAAATGAATTAAAAGTGCTGTACAAGCTAGTTAGCAAATATGTTCGAAAAGACTACTCAAACCATCGAAAACATACTATCGAAAAACATCTTAACTCAACAGGAAGTATTAAGAAAGCGTATAAGGAACTGCGATCTCATAAAACATGGATAGAAGGACTCAACAATCCTCAAAGAACAACGCATGACAGAAGATAAATCTTAAACATAGCAACTAACTTTTATAAAAACTTGTACAGTGCCCCAAAATGCCTAGACATAGACCAAACTGAACCGGAAAATGATGACAAAGATATAGATATAAACTCAGTGGATGAATCAGAAATTACAATGGGAATAAAAATGTTAAAATTAGAAAAAAGTCCAGGACCGGACAGAATAACAAACGAGGCAATAAAAATAGCTGGTACTTACCTAGTAAGCCCTCTGACACATCTATTTAATTTGATTTTAAGTTCTTCTATAACATCCACACAGTGGTCCGAGTCAAATATCATTCTATTGTTCAAAAAAGGTGATCCAAAGAACATAGGCAATTATCGAACAATTAGTCTTCTTCTTTCACTTTATAAATTATTTTCATCAGTAATACAGAAGAGAATCAGGAATACACTGGAAAAAAGTCAACCGATCGAGCAAGCTGGGTTTCGAAAGAGCTACTCCACAATGGACCACATCCACTCTTTGGAATTACTTATTGAAAAATATCAGGAATGTCAACGTCCACTCTACATAGCGTTTGTAGACTACCAGAAAGCTTCCGATACAATACTACATCCCGCAATATGGAAAGCTTTACAAGCACAAAAAGTGGGAAAAAAATACGTCCAAGTCTTAAAATACCTTTACGAGAGAAACACTAGTAGAGTGAATCTAGAGACCGCAGGACCACCTATTCATATCAAAAGAGGAGTACGGCAAGGCGATCCTCTGTCGCCTCTAATCTTTATAGCAGTACTAGAATCGATTATCGGAAAACTAGATTGGGATAAAATAGGTATATGCATAAAAGGGAATCATATTTGCCACTTGAGGTTCGCCGACGACATTGTCCTTCTATCAGAAAATAGCATAGAGATAGAATCAATGTTACACATATTACAACAAGCAAGTAGAGAGGTAGGACTAGGAATTAACCTGAGAAAAACAAAACTCACGACAAATTCCTCAAAAAACTCTATATGTCTTGACAACACGCCAGTAGAGTACGTCGAGAACTATATCTACTTAGGCAAACAAATTTCGTTTCAAAAACAAAATAATGATACAGAAATTGATAGAAGAATAATAAAGTCATGAAAAAATTTTGGAGTCTAAAGGAAGTTCTAAAAAGTCAGATGCCAATGAAAGTCAAGAGCAAAGTCATAGACTCATGTCTTTTGCCAACATTTACCTACGCATGCCAAACTTGGAAGTTCACACGAAGAGTCAAAAATAAAATCAAATCTTGCCAGCGAAGCATGGAAAGTTTATAAATAGTATGAAAAATTTATAACCTATTATTACTACAAGAAAATGTTATGTGCAATGCATGAAATAAAAGGCTTTTTTATTTGATTTTATTTATTAACAAATAAAACGAACTTAGGAAGCTTACTGTACGGACGTGTCGGCGATAATTTTATAAAAGTGATAATAGTGATTTAAAGAAAAGTGAAACCAAGTGCTCTTTACACAAGTTCTTATTTAGTATTAACTTATTTACGCAACCTAGGTCGTTATTGATATATGTTAACATACTTGAGTGAGCGGCGAGCGTCAACTGCAACTCCTCTCCTCGAGGAAAAGAGAAGGGCTACTAATATCCAGCTCGCATTCATCGTGGTTCTGCGCGAGCGAGATATCAAGTAAATACATATATATTTTTTATAAACAATAACACACGATGAGTGTCGTTCGATCGCCACCGCAGTCGCCTAACATGTATAACGAAGGCAATAGAGATTCGATAGCAACCACAAGTAGTGTTAATAAGCTTGAAAAGACTAGTGGTTCACAACCAGATTTGCGAAAGATTACCCTGTCTGATAACACCAACCAGATAACTCTTCGGGCCAAAAGAAAAACAGCCGCATGATGACTTTAGTGTACAATTTGATAAATTTCAAGCTAAAATGGATTCGCTTGTACAGGATATGGCTAAAACCCAAACTGAAAATCTTCACAGAATTGCTCAAGATGTCTCAGTAATAAAGGAAGAGATCAGCTTGATCAAGGTAACAACTGATCTTTTATCCTCAGAACAGGTCCAAATAAAATCGGAGTTAGCTTGCATCTCAAGTATTAGAGCTAACATTCAGAAAAAAGTGGAGACTATCGAAAATGAAATAGCATCACTAAAATCTGGATCGACTTCTGCGATACCTGCGCCTTCGTTTAGCTATGAAGATTTAGTATCGGAGACCTACGAACGATCTCAGAGGGAGAAAAACGTTATCATACGAGGGATAAAAGAGATACGATCCTCAAACTCTGAAGAGAGAAACATCCACGACAGCGAAGAAGTAAAGAAAATAATAAAAATGGCTGTTCCAGATTGCATATAACCGACGAAAACTATCCGCTTAGGTAAATATAATCCTGATAAATACAGACCTATAAAGGTTATATTCTCGACATTCGAAGTAGCAAAATCAATTCTACGCAAAAGGTCCAACATAAAATCTGACAATATTAAAATCTACTCTGATGAGACACCATATCAACAAAAGTATCGAAGTAATTTGAGAGACGAACTGAGACGGCGACTAGATGGAGGTGAAAAAAACCTTACTATAAAATATGTTAAAGGTACCCCTAAAATTACCAAAATCTAGCCAAAAAACTAACAATGCAAAATACAGACGACACATCGCCAAACACTACTCATGAAGAAACTGATTCATACACTAACTTAATAAAAAACACTAAATCCTTAAAATTTCTCTACGCTAATGCACGAAGTATAGTGAAGCCAGGAAAACTCGATGAATTAAACTGCATTATACAATATAACATAAACAGTCTTGTGCATGTAATTATACTATCAGAAACCTGGATCAAGTCAAAATCTGAAGCCAAAAGTTTAAAATTACCAAACTACACCCATTATTATAACATAAGAGAAAATGCCAGAGGAGGTGGAGTATCCATATTTGTCCACGACTGTTTAAAACACAATTACATAGAAGATTTATGGTAAGAGGATAATCACTACCTATGGGTTCGTTGGATATTGGAGCTATATATAAAACTCCAAAATCAAAAAACAATGGGTTTTTGGAGGAATACTCACAGCAGCTGATAAGGAGGCAAAGAGCTTTAGTGTTTGGCGATTTTAATTACGATCTGCTCAATCCTAACCAATCAATTAATAACTATACAAATATACTGCTAGAAAATGGGCACACAATCCTAAACAAAATTGATGCAAAATTTAGTACCCGTGATACACCGACAAAAAAAATCAATTCTTGACCATGTCTCATCCAATTTGAAAAATCATAAATTCCTTATGACAGATTACAGAAAGTAATATTTAAGAGGTAGGCACAATAAGGCGGTCTTATCGCTAAAAAGCGATCTCTTCTAGACGACTTTAAGATTTGGAGAAAATCTTACTATTGAACAGTTAGAGGGGGTGTATATTATAAAAAAAGTACATACTAATACATAAATAAAGTAAACCGATACATAATAACGAAATATTTTATACACTAATATATACAATAAAAACATGATAGACTTACATAATAATAAATAGGAAATAATATAATTTACAGAAATAAATACAGACAGGATACAAAAATTAAATGTCGCAAATGATGACCAGCGATTACTGCAGAGTTAGGTAGTGATTTTTAACGTCAGTCTTAAACTTATCCAGTATATTAGCTCGACGAATTTGCGGAGAAAGATCATTCCATAAGCAAATGTCCTTAACTGTGAAGGAATTCTTAAAGTATTTAGTACGATAATAATGCGGCGCGAGTATAAGTTCTTCGGCTGACCCGTAGAACTCTATCCGGTCCGTCATAACCAAGAAACTTAAAGTTTTCCTTAAAATATTAATTAGGGTTGAATAATGGTAGGAAATAATTTTCCCATCTCTGGAGACTTATTTTATAAAACCTAATTTTCTGGATCATTTAGAACTTAACGTAAAGGAAATCGATTCTCGAGCGCTTTTAAACAGACTTTGCATTTCGGTCCTATATTATCTAATTTTAATGTGTTATAAATAATATATTACAGAGTTACAGAATTTGTGACATGTGTGTATCCTGTTTGCTATCGACAAATAACAGATAATATAATTAAAATAAATAAAACGAAATAGTATGAAAAATTACTTACTTTGAAAAATATAGAAACTTTTTTATTCGCAAGTTATCTCGTGGAGTCTAAGCGAGGAATCCTGCTGATACTGTGAAACTTTTTTTTTTGTATACAAGTATGGATGAAATATGAACACAGTCAGCCTAAATGTAAGTGTAACACATCTACTTTCACCGAATCAAAATACGGATGCGTAGTTACTCCTGAGCCCTTAATCTAAGCCGTATAGAAAGAGACCTCACCAGTAGAAAGTCCTAATAATTTACTCATGAATATACAAGTGATTTTTCATTGAAAGCTCTAACAAGATTAACATGAAATTGTTCTTAACAACTGTATCCATCATCATGATGATTACAGCTACTCGCAATTCCAGCGCTGAACGTAGGTTTCCCACAAGGAACGCCATAAAGCACTATCCAGAGCCACCTGCATCCATCTACTAGCTTTTCAAGCTTAGCTAACGAAACTATGACAAAAGATATAAACTATATTAAGATAACATAATTTAAACCGGTATTTATTTCTCTTTTGTTCCGCTGTTAAAATTCGCGTGAAGTTTTTATGGAAAATGAGTTCGGATAGTCATTGGTTTATTAACACTATTGTTTATAACTCCTGGAAAAAGGATTACAAAGCGCGGACTTAATACCTCAAAACATTCTCTTGCAGTTAACGTGGGACGTGTGAAAGGTGCCAAAACTAGAAAGAACGGTAAAATAAGCAATATATAGAACAATGTAACAAATGTATTATTTAATATTTATTTTTATTATTGATATTCGTGTTTCGAATAAATAAAATCGACAATAATACGCTTCACGTATCTAATCATACGCTCGCAATAACAGGAAATCCGCGTCTGTCGGAAAGCTGATAAGGCACCTTGTTTTAACATTTTCACAATAACGTGATCTCGTACAATGATACCCGGAAGACATAAAAATGATTATTTAATTTATTTTTAAAAGAACAATATCAGTAACGCTATAAACGTTTATAATACTCCCGTTTACTAAGTAAACTTAAGTTGCTTGCACTGGGAATGATTCGCCGCAGTAGTCGAATAACAGATTCGAACTTGCAGTCCGCAATAATAACCATTAGGCTACTGTCGCTTAGTTGGAGCGGAGCGAGTGAAGCGAGAGGAGCTCCCATAGCGCAAGAAAACGATTCTTTGAATACTATCTCCTCCGTAACCCGTAGGTCAATTTATATAAAAAATTTTTTCAGCAATATTTGTAACTCAACGCAGATAAGGTTTGTAAACAATAAAAATCTGGATTTGTCTAAAAGATATTAAAAAATAAACAAAAACTAAATTGTCTACGGGAAAATACATGCTTTTGTAATAATTATTGAGAAAAAAATTAATTTAAAAAAACAAAAAATCGGATACCTACGACAGTAAAAAATTCAACCTAATATTGGTACGTGGTAAAGCCACGCTGTTGCTTTACTGTGGTTGTAGCACGAATGGGTCGGCTAGACCGGGGTAGAACCACGCTCTCACAGAATACTAGCGTAAAATAGCAACTTAATGCTGCTGTGTTTCGTATGGTGAGTGTAGAGAACCGGATACCCCTTTCACTGAAAACAAGGACTTCTATCTTAGTCCTCAGTGGTGACAAGGCATCTGCATTTTAATTCTTAATCGAGGTTTACTGTAGATGTCTATGATCCAAAACATCCTCATCCATCTGGACTGTATGCTCGTTTGTTACCCATATACAATAAAAAAAAAACCCGGTTCTTTGAAGTAAGTCAAATTCAAAACTTTACGTGTTATATTTGTGCAATTTTATGTTATCAAAAGCCCACTGTTGGACATTAAACCATTGCTTTTGAAGTCTATAAAATGATGCTTCATAAGGGAATATTATATATAAGTGAGCCGTGGTAGCTCAGTGGTTAACGCTCGCTGTAAATATAACAGAACGCGAGTAACGCGGGTTCGATCCCCGCCGGCACCAATGAAATTGTTAATTGCAATTTTAAGTGCTGATTTACCACGTGCTCGGCGGTGAAGGAAAACATCGTGAGGAAACCCGCATGTCTGAGGAATAAGAATCAAAAATATTTCGAAGACATGTGAAATTCGTCAACACGCATTGGGGCGGCGCGGCGGACACTTCCTTGCCCTAAACCCTCTCAGAAATGAGGGGAGGCCTGAGCCCAGCAGTGGGACGTATATAGGCTGTAACTTTACTTTTTAACTTTAAGGGAATATTTGCCATAGTTGTTGATATTTTTTTGTTTGACGCTGCTGCTCACATCCTGGCTTGTTTCCATTTGTCGCCTCTCGCGCCACCCACGCAACAATATGGAGTAGTGAAATTTCTTACACCACTACCACACGGTCGAAGGTTCATTCAATTTACAATTTTAAAAGCTCTCTAAAGCATCAAAATCAACCACTCGTTTGAACTGCAGCACAAATCGGGATTATAAAATAATTAGCACAATGCCGTTGTGTTTCGTAAGGACAGTGTAGAGAATAGGAGACTTTTTTTTTTTGCTGGAAACGAAATTACTGGATTCATGCCTCGATAAAAATCTCAAACAACGGTTTTGGTGCCTATAAACATTTTAGGTATTTAGACAATTAACGGATAATTACAGTTTTTGAATAGAAAAGTTCTGACGAACTCTAACTCAACATACATAACGATTTACATTCATGAACAAATGCAAATACACGGAACAATGATTTTGGGCATTCGACGGACAGATAATTATTACGTTCCTGCTCTTTGCACACACCGCTCGTCGGTATGCTCAAATGAGTTCAAACAACGAGAGAATTCATTATTCGACGCGTATATTTTTTTATTTACTTTTACCGATTTTTCTTAAACTTTCTGAACCGATTTAAATATTTTTTTTAATTTAAATAGGTTATACCCCGACGTATAACCTCTTCAAAAAACTATAAAATTTCATCGCCTAGCGTTTTAAAATAAGGGGATGAATTTTAATGAAGGTATTTAAGCAATAGTTGTAAACGTGAACTTGTGATATTTCTTAGATAAATCAAGATTCACAGATTTCAAAAACCTAAATAAAATCCCACACAATAGCTTCTAAAGCCGGGGTTTTACTTTCTTCAGAAGTTGCTAGGTAAAAAATAGAATTTTATACAATGTTATCTTTACCGTTACAGCCAATTAAAGTCTACTGCTGAATATAGGTCTCCCCCATAGATTGTCTCATAGGGAGGGATATTTGA